GCAGGAGTACTGGCATCAAAAATCCTAACTGATTAACAAGACTGAGCTTAATCAGTTTACAAATGAGGTTATATGACATGTTTGTGATAGAGGACAGGAAGTTACTTCCAGTAACGTGTAAGAGTTCAGCATCTCAGTCTGAAAAAAAGATCATCAGGTCTCGGTCTCTCCGCCTCCCACCCTCCCCCGCCAGTAAATCTCTGGACTATTACGCAAAAATATAATGGAAACTTGCAAATAAACTCAAAAGAACACACAGAAACACTGCATCTAATGGAGCAAACAAAACGGAAAAAAGAGACCTCACCTCCTGTGTCCGTGCTAATCAGACCAGTAATTCTCAGCCAGGGTGCCGTGCCCTGAGGCCCTTTTTCAAGGGTTCTATGGGGTGCCACACAATGTTAGCAGCGTTAGAAATGCAAACATGATTCACAAAATAATCCCAGAGATTTCAAACAGGAATCCACATTCTGATCTGCTGTGAACTTGAGTTCTTTGCAACAGAAGAATTGCTCTATAGTCAAAACTGCTCTGCAGTCAAAAAAATTAAAAAGGAAGAGCTGGCATATTTCAAGGGGAGCTTCCAGTCTACTGAGGGATGCCGCAAGTCTAGGAAGGTTGAGAACAAATGAATTAGACAGAAGTAGACTAGGAATTAATATGTTCTATGTGCCTGAAGCAAACCTTACTTCAGTCAACAGATAAAGTCCCACAGCTTCCATGGACTTTTAATTTGGCCTTGAAAATTGAAGGTTAGCTTAATGCAGATTTTAGGACTTTAGGCCCTCTGTACACGATCCAGTTAAAATTTTCAAGAGCTGTTTAATCGCACAATTAAACTGAGACCAGCTACATATTCAAAGTATCTATCATGCCATAAAAAGGTCCAAGCAGCTATAAAGTTCGACCTTGATAATGTTTACAGGTGGTCCTCGGGCTTACAACACAATTGGTTCCTGAAAACTGCGTCTTAAGTCAAAACGCTGTAACTCAGAACTGATTTTTGCAAAGGAACAATGTTATAAATGGGGGATTGGTTCCTGAACCAAGGCCTGATACCCTATTTTCACCAAAAATAACCGAGAATTTTGTACTCAATCAATTATAGACAAGTAATATAGCTACATTAATGTATTTATATTGTAAATAGCAATCATACTGATTTGGAAGGACTTCTTTGAAGTGACTTTGCTGGACTTTTTGAAGAGCTCTTGGCTGGAGTCTTCTCAAGAGTCTTGGCCGCAGGTCTTTCTGGGGTCTTGTCTGCTTTCTTAAAGAAAGTGTCCAAGGAAGTTTGGACAGATGTTCTCTTCTTTTGCTTGTAAGTTTCTCTGTAGCAGCTGTACATGAAAGATAGGCCCCTATTCACCGATGCACTGTGTTCAATGTTGGGGTCATGTTCCTCAAACAGGAACATGGCAGCTTCCAAATACTGAAATGCCTCAGCCAACACTTTTGTCGTCAAGACTTTATGAGAAGAAGTCTCTTCAACAGTGGGTGCATCTTCTTCTTCCTCTGCCACTTTTTGCTGTTCTAATTCAATGAGGTCCTCATTAGTTAATTCTTCAGAATGTAATGCCAGCAACTTATCAACATCTTCTGGTGCAACGTCTAAGTTGAGTTGTTTGCCCATTTCAACAACATTTTTGGTCACCTCTTCAACAGTGTCTGTAAAGCCTTGGAAGTCAGGCACAAACTCAGGACACAATTTTCTCCAAACACCATTCAAATTTGATTGTTTCCATGCCTCACCAATGTTCTTAACTCTCCCCCTGTTGTTTCTTTAGATCATCATAAAGACTCCTAGCCTTTTTTCCTGAATTATGTCTAACTCACAGGAGCACGGCACTGATTTTGATCTCTCCAGCCAAACGATTAACAGTTTCTCAACCTGAGCAATAAGTCCAACATGCTGCTTAGTTATCACAGTTGATTGCATAGAAGCTGAGCCCTTAACATGTTCCTGAATTCTTACCTTGTCTTTGGATAGCCCCATGATAGTCGTTTGGGGGATATCCAAAGCTCTACCGATTTCAGTTGACGTCTCACCTTTTTCAGACATCTTAATTATTTCCATTTTTGCTTCCATAGTAATTGCTCTACATTTCTTAGAAACATCACTTGCACCAGATTTATGCTTTTCTGACATTTTGATGGGCAAAGAAAAACTAAATTTTAAGAAAAAGTTTGAAAACACAAAGATTCACCACATAAAAATTGCATCGGAACAGCAACTGAGCATCTTGAGTCAGGGAGATGGGCGGCACGGTGGATTGGCGCAGGAAAATGGGCAGCGCAGAAAACTTGTTTGCTGGCGTGGCGTGGCATTGGATTGAGAGTCATAAAGTGGGAACCAAAGTTGGAAAGTCAAAACAGAGCGTTAATTTATAAACGTTGTTAAGCACCGTGTGTCAAAATTCGAACATTGTAAAGTCAAAGACTGCCTGTACTAACTTTGTAGTTGGTTGCTATCTAGCTTTATAGCATGTATGGCACAGTCTCTCCTGCAAATGAGGATAGCAGCTGTGATCTCCCAGACATGGGGGCTTCACACTCCCCATGGCTGAGAGATCATAGCAGCTGCAATCTCCCACTCATCAGGGTGCTCCATGCATCCTGCAGCTGGGAGAGTGTAGCAGCAATTATCTCCCAACCACGGGGGGAGGGGGGGGTGCGCTCTACAGTCCCTATGGCTGGGAAATAGGAGCTGCTACCATCTCTCAGCCATGAAAAACATGGTATGCACACAATGCACATGTGGTATTGTACTGTCATTAAGATATGGTGGGATCTACTGCACAACCCCATAATCATGCCCCCTGCCATGCACATGTGGGAGAGCAGGAGGAACAACTGTGTGGATCATACATTAGATCCTATTGCGCCTTTACCTGCACATGTGGAAGGGCCCTTAACAACTGACGTTGGACACTACTAACAGTTATTTTTACTTAAATTCAAAGCAATATTAAAATAATCTGTTTTGAATCAAAATTTTTCTTCCCATGGCTTACATTTGTCACCAAAATAACATCAGGGGATGGGAAAGGACAGAAAGCAAATGAAAGTATGCACACACTCTTCTTTTTTTGGAGGTTCAAAAATACCTCCAAATGTCATATTAACTTCATGATTACTGATAAATATAGCTATTCCTATTCCCAAAAAATCCAGTTAGGTATACAGACTCCAGTAAAACAGTTTAAAGTTTCCTCTAAAAGTTGGTCTGACTATATGATAAATACTAACACAGTTTGCTTAGTTTTTCCCCATAATACATTAACTAAGTCAACACACTTTATACTTACTGAGCCAATGCCATCCATCAGTGTTAGCAATGAAGCTACAACTCTCTTTTCAACTTCATTCTGAGCTCCTTCTCTCTTTGGACAGAGTGCATCCAGTTCATCTATAAAAATAATTGAGGGGCAGCTGAAAGAAAAATAAGTAAAAGCAATTTAATCCATCCAATGTATATATCCAAAGGATTTACATGGAGATTTGCAAAACTGTCTAAGGAATATAGACCCAAAATTATCATTAATTTTAATAGGTTTTTGAAACCTTCAGCCCCAAGACCTGGTTCAACTCTAAGATGTGAATACATAAATTAACAGCATTGTGTGCTCCCATATTTATTGTCTCTCAAAGATGAGATATTCAATTTGCTCACTTCACAAAGATGCCTTTTCTAATTGCCATCACTGAAAAAAATCAGCCTAGGACCTAAAAGTCAGGCTGGGTTCCTTTTTGCTAACATATCACCAGTAATAAAAATCCTGTAGTCTAAATTCTGCCCTCAGGTCATTTTGGCCTCCAAGTTTTTCTATCTGAGAAATCATACACTGTCCCACCAACCTCAGAGGGTATACGTACACTACAATCCAAAGGTGTATAAAGCAGCCTTTATGGACATCTCCAAGCTCACTTTAAGCTAGCTAGCTCTTATTAGTACAAAAACCAGACCTGACTAGCTGCCCAAGTATTTATCCAGGGTTTCAGATAGGTTTTGCAGTCTGCATAGAACCCTATCCTGTCATAGCTTCACTGTCATTAGCAGGGATCCAGGTTTTCCATTTCCTGCAGAAAAGCAGAAAAAAATGTGGACTTTCCCTTTTAACTGAGAAAAACATGGATTTTCCACTTTTGCAAATTGCTCTCTACAGGCTGGCAGAGTTCCAACCTGCAAGAGTCTGGGGGCAGTGGGAGGATGGCAGTCAGGCAGGAGGCACCACGTGCATGTACATGGAGAACAACTCCCACAGGTAAATCTGGTGGGGGGGGGGGGGGGGGAGGGGAATAGAGGCCCCCATAGGAAGGGAGGGAGGAAGGAAGGGAGTCGGGCAGGTCTGGAGCTGCTGCCCAGCCAGGTGGTACATGGGGCTTGGGGTCCAGGGCCGTGTGCAGCAACAGGGCCCAGGCAGGGAGCAGGATGGGGCCAAGGGTGGCTCACCTCAGGGGCAGGGTAGGCTGGCTCACCACCACTGCATGTACTCCTGGGGCGGGGGGGGGATATGCCCCCAGATCTGTGTGCAGGGTGGGGGCAAGTGTGGGCTGCCTGCTGCAGGCTCAGGCTTCCCACCCTGCTGTCTCTGCCAGGAGCAGGGCCGA